TCACATTGGGGATTGTAGTGTGATAGTTCTAGGTGCCAGATCAGGCAGCAAAAATCAGGACCTTTTGGCTGCCATCCTAGTATCTACTTGGACTTCTGTAGCCCAGATCCGGTAGTTTTCCAGAACCACATCTTTCCTTTAATTGAATAGGTGGGTCGGAGAACATCTCTCATCATATTAAAATGTCTGGAATGGACAGGAATGGTGTGGTTGAGAGTGGAAGCTGCTTAATGCTTCCATAGTTATATCAATTTGTCTACTTTGATGAGAGGGAAGAAGGAAGGAAGGGAAGAAGGAAGGATCAAGAAAAAGGGAGGAATTAAGGAAGATAGGATCAAGAAAAGGAAGGGAGGATTAAAAAAAAGTAGGAAGGATCAAGAAAAGGAAAGAAGGAAGGAACAACAAGAGGGAAGGGACGATCAAGAAGAAAGAAGGAAGGATTAAGAAAAGGGAGAGGATCATTAACAAAAAGGATAAAAGGAAGGATAAAAAAGAAGGAAGGAAGGGTCAAGAAAAAGAAGGAAGGGTTAAGAAAAAAGGGGAGCGAGTGAGGGACGGAAGAAGGAAAAAGAGTTAGAGCAAGCCTACTGTAATGGATTTCTTTCTTTTTTTTTGAAGGAAGAGGAGGAGGAGGAGGAGGAGGAGGAGGAGGAGGAGGAGGAGGAGGAGGGAGGAGGAGGAGGAGGAGGAGGAGGAGGAGGAGGAGGAGGAGGAGGAGGAGGAAGAAGCTTCAAGGGGAAAAGTTATTTGTTTGGGGTTCACAACTAGTGGACTTTCATAGAAACCCCATAATCCACAGGAAGCTTTCCTTAAAAGGGGTGGTTGTGGTGGCAGGGCCGGAGAGTAGTTTTTATTGGGAGGCTGGAATGCCTCACCTGTGGCCTCCAGGTGAGACTGTCAAAGCCCTTCTAGGGCCTTCAGAAATGACCAGTGGAGACAGGCAGTCTGGGTGAAAGGAGCAGGTTAACCTGGAAGGACCCTCCAGGCAACAGGAGATCCAACAGATATGCACGTCTCTCTCTCCCTCTCTCTCTCTCTCTCTTTTTCTCTTTCTCTCTCTCTTTCTCATTCTCTCTCATTCTCTTTCTCTCTCATTCTCTCTCATTCTCTCTCTCATTTTCTCTCTCTCTTTCTCTTTCTCTCTCTCTCATTTTCTCTCATTCTCTTTCTCTCTCTCATTCTCTCTCTCATTTTCTCTCTCTTTCTCTCATTCTCTTTCACTCTTCTCTCTCTCTCTCTCTCTCATTCTCTCTCTCATTCTCTCTTGCCCTATTTCCTTCCCCGACTGCAGTTTTTTTTCCCCCTTTGACTCTCCCTGATGCCCCTTGCTTCTCCTTGGAAAGCTAGACTTCCACCATCCCATCAACTCCTGTCCTTCTTAGGGACACCCGAGGCTGGAAGATCTGCTGAACTTGCAGCCTCTCGGCCCTCAAGCCAACCTTGGCTAGTCTGCCACTCCATGGGGGAAGGAAGTGGGGGGGTGGGCTGGCTTCCCTGCCTCTCTTCTCCACCCTTGTTGACAGATGTTATCCAGATGCCCCAGGAATTCGGGCTAGGAAAATCACCTTTTTCATGACGGGGGGGGGGGGGGGGAAAGGAAGGAAGAGATGAATGGGTTCTCCTTCCCCTAAGGGCCCGCTACCACCCCCTTTCCAGCTTGTAGCAACGCGCCTATCTGGCCTCCACTCTGGTTTTTCAGAGCCTGGGGCTCGCCAACTCCTGCCTGAAAAAGATCCCGCAATTTTTTTCCCGCCAGTCTTTTTAGACCCATGAGAGACGCTGGAGAAAATGCACAAGAAAAAGAGCTGATAGAATCAGAGATGGGGATTCTGCCAGCTGCAGACTCATCCCTTGAGTGGATTCCATGTGGACTTTAGCCAGAAAAATCTGGTTTAACTGTTGTTGAGCGGAGCCATGGTGATTCTCAGTTCCATTTCTCACTGTGCAGCAGCTGCGTTTCTATAACCCAGGGGTCAGCAACCTTAAACCGGAGGTGGGTATTCAGCCGGTTCTGACCAGTTCTGGAGAACCGGTAGCGGAAATGTTGAGTAGTCCAGAGAACCGGCCAATACCACCCCTGACTGGCCCTGCCCCATCTCTTCTCTGCCTCCAATCAAATCCCAGCTGATTGGCTGGGTCTCCTTTGGTTGCCCTGCACAGGAGAACGGAGCTGGAAAGCAGGTTAGTGGGGTGGGGAGGGAATGGAGATTTTGCAGTATCCTTCCCTTGCCACGCCCACCAAGCCACATCAAGCCCACCAAGCCACGCCCACAGAAACATTAGTAAACACAAATTTAATCCTTAAACACTCAAAGAACCATTTGGACCCGTTCCCCCCAGAAAAGAAAACACCAGGAGCCATAAAGATCCTTCCCATGCCTGACTATTTCCTGAACGGCCACAAAACTAGCATACGGAGTTGAATTAAACATTCTGTTTTCTTCTGAAACTTTTCTTTTCTTAGATTTATCCATGGATTTATCTTACTGGGGCGGTGATGTTGAAAAGCTCAATAAATCGTGTGCCGGCAGCTGTCGTACATTGGCAGGTGTGACACATATTTTGAGTGACAGGGAGTCACAAGCAGAGGGATGAAAGAGCCACATGTGGCTCCAGAGCTGCGGGTTGCTGACCCCAATTAAGAATTAGAATCTGAATTCACCCACGTTCTGGGTTTTTGTGCAAGTTCTTGAACTGATAGAAGATAATATTTGCAGCTCAGGATGGGGTGGGCTGTGGGATCCTTTCTGTTCTTTATGCTTGTTGGTTTTCTTGCAGGTGTTTCATTACCCGTATTATGTAACCCCCTCATTAGCACTGATGATGTTACCTAGTTTGGTAATGAAACATCTGCAAGAAAACCATCAGGTTCAGACAGCACCAAAGACTCCACAAAAGCTAAGAAGATTCAGACCTGGTGAAGTTTGGAGAAGAGACTCAGTGGGTTATTGGTTGGGCTGGGAAGTTGTTGCTAAGATAACAGAGTAAATGTGTTTGTGTGGCCATCAGGAGTTGAAGCAACTTTGAGCTTGGTGGTTACCTTGCAGATGTTTCATTACCCAAACTAGATAACATCAGTTCTAGTGGGCTTCCTCTGGCATATAAAACAGAGAGCAAACCCCACTCCTTTCTAGCAACTGCTGATGTTACCTAGTTTGGTAATGAAACGTCTGCTACAAAACCACCAAGCGCGTAAAAAATGCAAGTAGAAAAATAGGGACCCTTTTGGTGGGAAGGTAACAGTGTTCCATGTGCCTTCGACATTTAGTCATGCTGGCCACATGACCACGGAGACGTCTTCGGACAGCGCTGGCTCTTCGGCTTTGTAACGGAGAGGAGCACCGCCCCCTAGAGCCAGAAATAACTAGCACGTATTATATGCGAGGGGAACCTTTACCTTTTAACTCAAGAGAGGTTAACTATGCAGGGTAACTGAAGCAGAGTATTAGCTCACCCCAGACTTGGGGGCTTCTAACTTGAGAAGGTTCAAACCCAAACCAAGACAAGGCCCACCGCAATGCCTTTGTCCCTCTCTTGAGTTATCCTCTTTTGAATGGTCCCCTCACGAGTTTTCCCATGTTGAGTTGGCTATGGCAAATTGGCCAAGGTGAGATGGCCAAGGTGAGTTATCCTAAACCCATTCAGAATGCCTAGGTAGATTCTCATGTCAAAACTCTGGAAATGGCCCTTCTCCACCTTGACAAGGGTCAACACAATCTCATTCCCAACATAAACAGAATATGATGACTTCTGCCTATTTCCTCTTTTCCATCTCTAAGTTCGGTGAATTTCTAAACTCTCTCTAAAAATGCTCTGCATTCCACTTGCCTGCTAGAACCATCTTCACGGTTATTTGTTCCACTGTGCGATCCACCAAAGAATTAAAAAGGTTCCTCCAAGAATGAAACAAACTAAGATCAGATTCTGTAATCAAACAAAGCAAAGGGATCTCTTCCTCCGTGGAGGAAGCCTCTGATTTCGCCCGTCTATTTCTGTAAGCTATTAATTTCCAGATGATTAGGAATGTTGTCAGTGTATAGTAATGTGCAAACCATTTTCAGATGGAGCTGTTATACTATTTCTTTATTTAAAAAAAAGGTATTTATTTATGACATGCTGTTCTCATTCATGCTCTCAGGAGCCCAGGTTGATTGTATCTTCGGAAGATACTGCCCGTTGCATTTTAAGAACAATACTGTGATTATTCTTAATGCAAAACACATCTCTGTTTCATGGAAAATCATTACCGTCCATCATTCTCGATAGCCTGTAAACCTCCAAAAAAGTTTATACAGTTCTGTAAGCATGTCTAGGGTTGCTGTGTTTATGACCGTGTTCATATTTTTCCTTAAGCAGAATTTATTGAGTAACCTACAGTTGGCTGCCTTCATCGAATACCATAAATATCAGTTATGGTTTTATCATTTATAAGGGTTAGGAGCACTCAAGATGTAATAGTCTCTGAGCTTTGTCACTGTCACATGCAAATAAGTCAGCATCATTTAATAATGCTGAATTCTGCTCTCTGAGTCAAAGTTCTCATCGTAAAAATCCAATCCTATCCAGAAATGCAGTCATGTTCCTCCTGATATCCTCTTATGTCTTGTTGTAAATTGAGAAGCTTCTCTGTGAAAGTTAACCATCAGGTCCCATTTCCATTTTCTAAAAGAAAAACACCAGTAATTTCTTAACTTTTCCAGGGTCTTTTATGATTATTACTTGGTCCATTATGACCTCCTCCCAAAAGAAGTTTTTTGGGAACTGTGAGCCGTTCATTTGTCCATTTATTTTGTGTGCATCGGTTGGGTAACTCCCAGCCAGGCAGGGAGAAGGAGTCAAACAGGGAACTAGCCTTGAGTCCTTGCACAGCTACAAGAGGCATAAGCCTGATTCCTCTTAAAGGAACTTAAACTTAGCAACAGAATTTTGGAGCTCAGTTGTAGTTGTAAATTGAGGGTTACCTGGATTGCTAATTTGCCAGATATTTTGTCTCTGTTTAGGTAAGAGAAGTTGTGCTTGGCACGGATTCTCTTGGCAACTTTCACAAAGGGAAGGATCCTTCTTTTTAAAGAATGTGGGTGGGAACTATGACCTAAATACACGGGCCTTCCTTTTCTTCTTCCCCAACTCTTAAGCCCAAGAGCTTCTGACGAGCTGAGTCACCACTAAATTGACCTGCAAACCTAATTCCCACCCTCCATGGTCTCCTTTCTTTGCCGGTTCTCTCCCCGACCAGGTGAATTTTCATGCCTTGCGGTGGGTTGTTTTTTTTGTAGGTGAGTATGAAGTTGGGAAACTCAATTCTTCGAGTGTGAAATTTTGGTGGGGGTGGGTGAGTCTTGGCAGAAGGCCTCCTCGTTTTGGAAGGTGTGTGTATATGTGTGGCATCTACTGTGTTTCCCCCAAAATAAGACCCTGTCTTATATTTTTGTTGCCACCAAAAATGGCACCAGGTCTTATTTTTGGGGGGGCAGATGTCATCCACTGACTAACCTCACTTGTGCACGTCGCCCCCGGCCTCCTTTTCGTGGTCAGAGGCCTTCAGGAACTTCTTCTTCTGCGGCTAGCAAGGCTTTCCTGAAGGCCTCTGTAGCCTTCAGGATCGATCCAGAGCTTTGTTATCAGCTGCAGAGGCCTTCAGGAAAGCCTTGCCAGCCTTGCTGGCTGCAGAAGAAATGGGCTGGCAAGGCAGGTGTCGGGGTGTGCGAGGCCTGACTACAACTGTCCAAAGGTAAGTAGTAGGGCAGCTCCACCCTCCCACGCCCACCCTAGCTTAATTTTTACCCGTGCACTCGAATGGGCAGGATCTTAATTGGGGCTCATTTTGGGGGGTAGGGCTTATATTGGGCGCACGTGTAAAAATCAAGCTAGGGCTTACTTTCAGGGTAGGTTGTATTTTCAGGGAAACCGGGTATGAGCAGGAGCCAGTCCAAATTTTTCCGCTGAAAGGGCAACCTATGCCACCAGGTCCATGCCCGTTCTTGCCCTGCTCCTTCAAAGAGGCCTCCTCTTGTTTTGTTTTTCCTGGTTCTTAGCAACCCTGCTTTGCATTCCCATCTGTCATCTCACCGCCGTTTCTACCTCCATGCAACTTGACGGAATGAGGGCAGACGAAAACAGACGGGAGTGAAACTGGTGTTGTCGGTCCAGATCCATTTCCTCGCAGCTTTCTCTTCGGCCCAGAGTGGCCCTTGGTGTTCCAGACCGTGAAGGACTTTGGGAAACCCTCAATCGGTGATGACGATGACAATGAGATGACGGCGAGCATTTTATATGTTCCAATACATTTATGGATTTGTAAACATTCTTAACTCAGGGTAACTCTGGGCAGGTTACCATCATCAAAGATACAAACGGTATACACAATTCCAAAAGCCAAAGGTTGCAGCCCAATTAAAGATAGAGAGGGCGGGAGCAGGAAAGGCGTGTGATCGTTTTAGCACCTTGCAAAATAAAATGAGGATGGCTAGCATCACGTCTATTTTCAAAACCCTCCTCCTCCTCTTCCTCCCCACAAATCCCACTCCTGCCTAGTACTGAAGATGTTACCTAGCTGGGTAACAAAACATCTGCAAGAAAACGACCAAGCTCAGAGAGCACCAAGGACCCCACAGTCCTCCTCCTCTCCACAAATCCCAACAGTCGTTTTCCCCTTCTTTTCCTCCACCTTCTCCTCCTCCTCTTTCTCCTCCTGCTCCTCCTCTTCCTCCTCATCCACAAATCCCACTCCCTCCTAGTACTGAAGATATTCCCTAGTTGGGTAATGAAACGCCTGCAAGAAAACCAGCAAAGCTCAGAGAGCACCAAGATACATTTCAATCCTGAGCTACAAATATTCTTCTTTTATTGGGTTGAAAGAAAAATTCTGCAGCCTGATTTTTAAAAAAAAAACCACTCTAGATGATAGCTCTCCTCCTCCTCCTCCTCCTCCTCCTCCTCC